TAATTAGGCCTCACTTAAAGTAGGAGTTAATTTTGTCTTCATTAGCTGCTTCCAAATCAGCAGGATGGGGCAAGGAGGAAGCCCAAGGCATGCTGGGTATTTGGGAGGAAGCTGGCCCAGTGCTAAAAGTCGGCGGTAGATCGTGTTCAAAGAAGGAAATTCAACTATGGGAAATCAAGACGTTGAGCATATACCCTGGAAGTGTTTACTGAGCACCTTCTTGAAAGATTCTCAGGCTTTCATCCATTCTTTTTTTTTCCTCCCTATTAACCGTGAGTGCAGAAAAATTCTGTCCTAGGAAATAGGGATATAATAACCTGAAATTTTGTACAGAAAAAAAATAGAGGCTCAGAGAGGTTAAGTGACCTCTCACATAGATTGATCTCTGAGTAAACAGTACCTAAGATACTGAAACTGATTAATGAATGATAAGAAGACCCCACTGTTTCCTTCTTATTGATGATTTGAATAATGAGGAAGCAGGAATTCTTCTGGCCTAATTCGCATTAAGAGAGCTAAGATAATGAAGCTGTGATTAAATGGCTATTAAACTATTTTTATCAAACAGAGATCAAGCGAGTGTGAGAATCTGGGGACGCAGAGTGTAATTGCAATTCTACAAGATGTGGAAAAAATTACTATCATAAGCAGGGCATGGTCCTTCCATAATAGCCCGCATTTAAAAATCTTTGGGATACCACATGCAGGTTTCGCTTTGCAGTTCTCCCTTCAGGTGTCTGGTAGCATCTCGGAGTCCCTCATTTCCTCCTTAATTTAGTAGATTTATTCTTTCTTTATGCACTTGGGTGAGCTGAATGCACTGTCTGCCCCATCACGCATAATCAGTTGGAAGATCCTTTTCCCAAGTGCTCACAAGGGAAGAAAGCCCAGGTATCATATACTGGACCCCACATTTCAATCTGGAGGTGACTCTGAGCACCTGCAGGAGCAGAATCTGCCTTCCTTTAACTGTGCCCTTTGAATCATATCACACTTCCTACAGGTCAGGTAGGGACCCAGCAGTCCCAATGGGCAGTAATGAACCTTCTGGTTTTATCGAGTGTTCTGAACTGTCGTTTGTAAATGACACGGCGCTGCCTCGGGACTATTGCGCTTCTGGATTTTGGGTTGTTAGTATACATGCATTGTCTGTTAGTGGAAACTCTTTACAACTTGAGTATTTGTTGATGTGGCTTCTTAACTCCTGGAGCGTCCTCAGAGAACAAGTGTTAGAGGTCACCCAGAGTTTTATTTACGGGGGAAGAAGAGCAGCAGACTTGCATTGCGTCAGGAGAGCCCAAGGTTGACACCCACCATGGTAAAAGCTGCTTGAGAGTCACAGAAACGTGACTGTGGAAATGCCTATTGGCCTGTCCCTACCTTTCCTTACCCCTCTGCTGCCGCCCACAGCACTGAGCTCAGCCGTGTACTGTAGACCACTACCTAATTGGAGGCCTGCTCTCTCTCTCTCTTTCACCTCTCTGCTTTTCTCTTCTTAACGTATTAGAGAGGTAATAAGTATATTTTTGTAAAAACAGTAATTTCAAACAATTAAAAGGCAGTATCAGAGCAGAGTCTTTGAAAGGTTATTTTGCAAAGTCGTTTTACTGGCTGATGTATTTCAATGCCCCGTCACCTGTGAACAGACATGTGTTCGTAGGCCATAGTGCTTCATCTGCAGTGACTTTGATTTATTTGCTCTGTAAATTGGGACCGAAGCAATAATGGGAAGTGACATTAATTGTTTACCAGAGTCCTTTTTGTCACATCCATTGCCTTCTCTGGAGTGTTTGATTGTTGAAAGTCATGCTAGACTAATTGAAATTGCCATAGTGAGGAACAGTGTCCACTCAACTTTACATACAGGAATATCTATTGAGCTTCAGACCAACAATGTCACAAGGAAATATCTTAACTTTTTCCCCAGTCTTCTACTGTTAGACAAAACACAGAGAATTTGAAATAATAGCATTCTTTCCTTCCAATGTTCAAGAACAACTTTTACTAAAATAAGATGGTTTCCGAGCACCTCTCTGAGTTACCCATGTTTCTGATGAACATGGGCTGTAAGTAAGGATTACAGCCCTACTGGGCTGCGCTCCCCAGACACACACCAAAACACCCACACACACCTCCACAGCCCCCAACCCTCCACACACTGAAACACCCATACACACCTCCACAGCCCTCCAATCCCCCACACCTCCCTACCTCCCCCACACACGACCACACACCCACCTACACCCACATACACATACTGCCAGTCTTCCCTTGCACAACCCTCCCTCCCATTGTGGTTCCAGTAGAGAGAATTTAAATAGCTGTGGCTTAATCAGATCTTGTAAATTAATTATGACATTATCAGGCTCCAATATTTCTGCCATTGTTTTTGATGTACATTCACCCGGGCTTATTAAAGAAATTGGAGAAAACTAGTTAATTTAAGTGTTCTTTGTCATTCTGACTTGATTGGAATTATTGTAGTTTGTTTACACTAGGGATAGAACTAAGGCGCTATTGTATTATGTGATTGAAAGCAAATAGAGGCTTGTAGTGTTGCTGGAAAGCCAAATACAAAATTTAAATTGGGGTAAACAAAATTACTCATTTATTGGTAAACATTCTTAACTGTTTTTCTTGAGCTATTTTTGAACTTCAGTGAAATAAGAAAATTGGGATACCTGGAAAAAAAAGTCCAATTTACTGAAACTGTGCATGAGTATGTGCATGCGTGTGTACTTGAGATATCTTCAAAGATTGTTTTTATTAGATAATATGGATATATTTATTTTAATGTAAATCTCATGATTTTAGATTATTTAAAATACTATGCATTTAATTTAAATATGATTTCTATTTAGGATGGATTAATAACCCGAATTTGGTTTTTCATATGTGGGTGGAATCCGAATAAAAAGGGGAAAGATTAGAATCTTTGGACACTATATTATGATCCTGGGCAGAAAATAAGTGAAAACATTTCAGTATCTTTATTATTCAGATGACCTGGAGAGATCCAGAAGAATTGAAGCTGGGTACTATGCTCAATAATGTTTTGTTATTATTAAATCAAGTAATTTGATTTTTAAAGAATTGATCAATTTATGGAAGAAGCGGTGCGATTTTGAAGTTAATATTTCACCCCTTTGATTGGGATTTACCTCCTACAGTGGAGGTAAAACTCAGACAGTTGTCATTCCATCCTGTGTGCCCAAAACCACTTGACTCCCAATGCAAAGTCCAGGGGCATTAGGGAGACACATTATGGAAACGTTAAGAAATGCTAGTAAAGTCGACCATGAGTACAAATGGCTCTTTTTGGCCTCTCGAATTCAGAAGAGAAAGAAATCTGTAGTTTTACTCCTGGATGGGGACTCATCAGTAATGAGGGAAAACAATTTTTATGTGAAAATAGAATGTATACGTGATAAAGGCCTGCCTAATTTCTCTAGTAATACAATTTGATTTTCTGATTAGCTGTCTTATTCTGTGATTCTTGTAATTTTGTCAGGTCAATTAACTGGAGTTCAGTGCTAGAGAGAAAGGACGTGTGGGCACTGCTGGCTTCATTAGATGTCAGCAGCTTAGGTGCATTTTGTAATAGAATCTGTGTGGGATAATTTAGCCGATATTGTTAATGTCATAGCATGCGGAACTTTAAAAAAAAGATTTATGAAGCAGGTCAAATTGGACAAACAATGTGAAGTGCTAACAGAAGGAAGAGAAAGTGATCTACACAATGTATATTCTAGGCAGTAAATGCAGATCGATGAATTATTCAGCAAGTCATCAATGAGCATACTGTGTGCCTAGCATCGGCACTGGCTGCCCAGGTACATGGACTCTAACCCATTTCCCTATAAACAATGGTGTATAAGCTCCAATTTGGGAGATCTTGAAAGATTTGCAGAGTCCTGAAATAAATGTTTTTAAAATAAATTATTCACAGGGTCTTCCCTTCCACTGGAAGGGTTTTTGGAGGGCAGAGGTTTGTCTTCCTCTTTCCATCTCTGACGCCAAGCATGGCCCTGGTGTAGTAGGTAGGCAGATGTGTTTATGGAATGAATACCTGAGGATTAACTTTCCAAGGGTGTGTGGATGGGAGTGATTGTGGGAGTTGGGGAAGGAAACAAGTGAGAATATATTCGCAGGAGCCCCCCGTCCAAAGTAATGTTGCACGCGAATGGTACCCTGGCCACAAGCCATGAATGCATTTAAGTGACATTGCAAAGTAAGACTCTAATTAATGACTGACCACATAAAGAGGACTCAAGGTAGTTGTATAGGTTGGGTGCAAAGAATTGTTACCCAAAGTCAGGAAGTCAAGGGAAACAGCAGTTTTGTTGCGAAAGGTCCTATGGTTGGGTTTCAGAGCAAGAAGGAGCTATTATCAGGTAGAAATGTCCAGTGGGCAGTTCTAGATTTATGACTAAAGTTGGGAGAGATGTCAGGGAGGGAAATAAATGGCTGTGGAGTGTTCGGTGATGAGATTATAATTGAAACCATCAAAGTGTATAGTTCCTCTCGCTGTAGATTCAGTTTCTGGTGCTGTTCAAACAGTGGGTTATCTAAACATTTCGGCTGCACAGGAGATTGAAACACTATATCTGAAGATGAAATAGACGATGGTTAAAATTCTCTCAAGTTCTGAGATTCTCTAGACCTTCTCCCTTAGTTAGAGAAACAAGACCTAGGCATGGGGCCTGTGATTGGGAACGACAGTCAAAATCAGCCGCGACCCACCCCAACGTCGTAGGGCTAACTTGGACAGCTCCACATCCGAGGTTGGCACTGAGAGGGACCAGTGAGGTGTGTGACTGAGACCAAACATGGATGTGGAATTTGAAGAAGATGTGGTCTTTGGGGTTCCAGCATGAGCATTCACAATTTTGCAGAGAGTTTACTCATTGGGATAAACGTGAGCCGTCTGTGCTGATTGATAGCGCTCCCTATCCCCCAATGTCAACTCTCTCACGTCGCCTATTTTTCTGTTTTTGTAGAAGATAGATGAAGAGAACGAGGCGAACTTGCTAGCCGTCCTCACAGAGACACTGGACAGTCTCCCCGTGGATGAAGACGGATTGCCCTCATTCGATGCACTGACAGATGGAGATGTGACCACTGAGAATGAGGCCAGTCCTTCCTCCGTGCCTGACGGCACCCCTCCACCGCAGGAGGCCGAAGAGCCGTCTCTAGTAAGAGCCCTTCCTACTGCTTAACAGGAATCGGAGTGGCCTCTGGCTACCCGCTGCCTGGGCATGATGTAGTGACAATCAGGTTTGGACTTTCGATTTAGACTGGGGCCGAGAAACAATTCCCGAGCACACTCAGAGTTGCAAATTCTGTGATTCTGTGTTTGAAAATGTTGGTAATAACAGCCTTCACGTGGACTCACTACACTTTATTTTCATGGCCTTTTGCTACGTACGTGCGTGTGTTTTTATTTCCTTAGCATCGTTTATGTTCACAGTAGAAACGTAGAACATGCAGACAACCCAAAAGGAATAGACCCAGAAATTCCCCTGTACAATCAAGTAGTCTCTAATGTTGAAAAGAGATTGAAATCTCCTCTTGTTTTGAGATACAACGTTATGTTTGTGAATTTGAGATAGACGTCTAGTTGTTCATGTTACATATTATTTTATTGTTTGCAGATGTCCTAGTTCATTAAGAGATTCCTTATGGTCGGGCATTTAGTCTTTTTCCAGTTTCTCACCATCATAAATTATATAATAATCGACACATTTATAGTTTTATTCCGATGCCTACGATTCTAGAAGTAAAAAGGTAGATCAAGGGATATGCAATATTTTCAGGTTTTGCATCCATAATTCTTATGAAGATTGAAAAATAATAGCACATTTGCAACCTAAGTTCCCTAAATTTATGGGAGGCAATGAAGAGTGAATTTGTTGGCAATGAGGAGTAAATTTTCTTTTGGATGCAGTGCTTGACCAGAATTTTATTAGTTCTAAGACACAGTTTACCTTCTCATCTATGGTAGCCATTTGTCATTTGCCATAAATCTGTTGTAAGACCACACGATGTAAATTATGGAAAGCTATCCTCCAAACTTTAATAATGTTCCTTGGCATGCCGCTTAGAGCTGGTCTCTTTTCCATCTCTAAGTTTTTTGTTTTTTTTTTTTTTTAATATTAAAAGCACTCCATGTAAACACATGGAGACCCTACTTGTACTTCCCTGCATTTCGAGATTTGTGGTTTAGAAGAAACAATCTCGTAAGTTGTTTCCTGCCCCCTCACCCCCCAGCATTTCTCCACTTGCCGTTGCTGTCTAGTACTTTGATGTCTTTACATTGATACCAGATGATTTTCATCCACATAATTGGTTCGACTGGGAGGGGTTGTTGACTCAGCGTCACGCTGCCTGCTTAAGCCTGGAGGGCCTAGAAGGCCAGCAAGCCAAATGAAGAAACCGAGGCCAAGACACAGTAAATGCTTTGCCTGAGCCAGAATCGCATCTCCTGACTCTATCGATTCACAAATCTTTTTCAGAGATGGCCCCTCTTTACGCCTAAACATCCTTTGAATCAGTGAAGTTAAACTGGATTGTGAAATATCATTCAAGACATTACAGAATCTTTTATTTTTTTTCCCCCTTGATTCATTTGGGTTATTGAGGGGAAATGTACTATGTTCTGTCCCTAATCCCCAGCTCCTCACTTAGCAGGGCAGCTTCCCTCACCTAATAGGTATTTGGAAATCCTTTTAGGGAGATCCCTGTGCCTTACTTTATAAAAAAAAAAAAAAAAAAAAAAAAAAAAAAAAAAAAAAAAAAAAGACAATACTCAGTCTCGAAGGTAGGGAAAGGACATACCTTCGCAGTTGGTAGTGTGACGCCAAATTTTTTACTTTTAAAAAATACGTTTCCTTTAGCACTATTGTGTTCAGGTGTGACTATAACGAGTGAGAGGATTAATTTTTCTAATGAATGAACTTTAAGTTTAAAATTCCAGTAACTTATTCTAATGCTTAAACGATGCATAACTTTTCTTGCTTTTCCCCTTCTCTGATACGTTTCTAGCTTAAGAAGCTCTTACTGGCACCAGCCAACACTCAGCTAAGTTATAATGAATGCAGTGGTCTCAGTACCCAGAACCATGCAAACCATAATCACAGGATCAGAACAAACCCTGCAGTTGTTAAGGTACAACGTAAACTTTTTAATATAGGAGGGAAAGTAACAAAGGATTTTGCTTGAAGCAGTAAAACAAAGAATAGGTTTATTTCGACGTATTCAGCTGGGATCCTGCAGTTCCTTTATAATGTGAAACAATGTGAAATGGGTTTCCAAAAGCAGCGCTCCAGCTACTTTAAGCTAGAAAGAGTTCATTTGTGCTTTGTCTTTGGATGATTGGAATGGAAGTTCCGCCGTCTGTTACTCCTTGCCCACTTTATTAATACATGCGGCAATGTGGGTTCCAATGAAATTTGCTGATAGGCTGGTATTATCTACGAGTGACTTTAAGATGCAGGATTGCCGTTTTGCCAGCTGTCTAACCTGAGAAAGATTGCTCTGGAATCACCGCAAAAGATCTATCTCTGCCATTAATTGGATGGAATGCTGGCAATGACATAATTCGGTTAGCGGGCTGTATTAAACAATGTTTGTCTTGCCATTCACTGTGAGTGAAAACGGAGCGTTAAGGGGTACTTAGGAGAATTGTGAATACGGGGCTCCAGCAATCAGTGGCAAATTAAGGTTTAAACCAGCTTATTTTTTTTTATTCACAGTAAAGGCGCTATAGGGTCTTGTTAGTTACATGTTGCTGAGTAGGAACATTGAAATGTAGGAGAAATGAAATAAAAAGCTGCATAAATGTCATTTAGGAATTTTAAATGTAATTTTCTTTCCTTGTTCTGCAAACAATTATTCACAGCTCATAGATCTAGTACACTTAGGCTGAACACTTCATTGAAAATCTCATCTCTTCAGAAAACCTATATCCATTCTGATAAGGTTCAGTTCACTAATTTTAGCTTTCTTTATGCCTTGTTTTTAAGACCGAGAATTCATGGAGCAATAAAGCGAAGAGCATTTGTCAACAGCAAAAGCCACAAAGACGTCCCTGCTCGGAGCTTCTCAAGTATCTGACCACAAATGATGACCCGCCTCACACCAAACCCACAGAGAACAGGAACAGTAGCAGAGACAAATGCACCTCCAAAAAGAAGTCCCACACACAATCGCAGTCTCAACATTTGCAAGGTAGGCCGGGGACCGAAACCAGGCTGCGGTGAGGGCGCCGGAGGCAGAGCGAGCATGCACCCGGCTGGGATGCGGCGGCTCCGGGCCTTCGCTCCACCGCTGTCTCTCTCGAGAGGGAATTCAGCCCTTGATTACAGACTTAAAAGCAAAGCAAAACCAAACAGAAGCAACACCTTCCTTGGACACAGGTTGTCCTATTCGGCTGGCACGCAGCCTCATTCACCATCACCAAAAGGCACCTGAAATGTGAGCTTGGGTGGGGAAGCGGGTGGGGGAAGGTTTATGTGAAATCTGAATTACTGAGATAATTGAAATTCGGAGCAAGCTGGGCCAGCCAATATTAAAAAGCTCCCCCCCCTTTCTAATAATGGGAAAAAATGAGGCATTGTTGATTTGCTGTATATACCTTAAGAAATAGTACATGGCATTTGTGCAGCCTCTCCCAATTATTAAGTGCATTTTTTTAAAGACCCCATGTTATGCTCCTAGATTTATTTTGTAAATAAGGATTTGGAAATTTCTGGAATTTATTTTTATTTGCTTTCTATTAAAATATATTGCCCAGATCAAACTATGCATCTGGGTTGATTTTTATTGTCCTCATACATTCTGGAAGGTTGATGCGTTTGAGGCAGATCGGAGTGATTTGGGGAAAACCTGTCTTGGCAGAGATATAATTTTCTTTCTTTTTTGTCTTTTCCCTCAAAACCTCAACACTGGCCTATCTTAGAGGCAAAGGAAGCTTGTTGAAAGTTGCTGTTGCTTTCAAACATCCCGGCTTCCACATGAACCCTACCTTTAACCTGGTAGTGGAAGCAGATGTATTCTTTTTTTTTTCTTTTAAAGATTAATTTTTAATTGAGAGAGAGAGTGTGTGTGTGTGCGCGCGCATGTGTGAGAGAGAACGCGGTGGGGGGAGGGAGCGGGAGAGAGTCTTAAGCAGACTCTACGCGGAGCGTGGAACCCACCTGGGGGCTCGATCTCACAACCTGGAGATCATACCTGCACCGAAACCCGGAGTCGGATGCTTAACTGAGTGCACCACCCAGGTGCCCCAGAAGCAAGCATATTCTAAAATAGCAATTACAAACACCCACTTCTTTTTTCCCTTTTGTTTCCCCGACTTCCCCTTCCAGCTGCAGAGTGGTAGTCCCTGATCCCTGTTTTGAACCATGATTATTTCATACAGGTATGCTGTTGCTGCTGCTTTTAATAAGTATTTTCTTTCCAGTGTTTTCAATTTCCCTCTCTCATCCCTACCTCACCATAAACCTTCAGGAATGTTCTTTTAAAGTTTTAAATTGGCTCTCAATTAGCTCTTCCCTGGTGGATATCTCAAAATCCCTTGGCCATCCTTTTCTGTCAGTTCAGGGAAAGATATTTATTGAAACGGGCCAAATCTTTTTGTAGCTCGCCTTACCCTGACTGGTCCCTTACACACATGCGCTGGACCAGTTTTTCTGAGCAGGACTAACAGGGCTGTGGGATGCAGTGGTGTGGAGGGTCTCAGGTGAAGGGAAGCCAGCTGAGCTCACTCTAGTGAGCGGACTGAAAAATTCACTGGGATCCTCTCAACCTTGTCCCAGTGTGTCCTAGTCATCCGTTCATCTTCTGGAGCTGAATTTGAAGTCTGAAGCCAGCTATTACCCTATAGTCAGTGAACCCAGACCAACAGCACATGTTCTCAACATCTTTATAATTTTTATATTCTTAAAATTTTATTTGGCCCTTCTGGATTTTTAGAGTTTCGGGGTTTCTTTGTTTTTTTTAAATCCACTTACCACGAATATTACTGAAAACTTTTACAAACCATGGCAGTGAGGAGTTAAATTGGCCTATGGAGGATATATTTTTTAGATGAGACCTGCTATATGTGGATTTTTTAAAAAGCTGTATGCCTGTAGCAAAGCATAAAAATTTAATCCCAGAACAAAGCCTATTGACAAAAACACAAAAAACCCCAAACCAAACAAACAAAAAACCCACAAAATTCCTATAGTTATTAAAGGCCTAAAACAAAAAATAAAGCAAAAACATGGCTGGCTGTGAATAACCAACAAGAAATAAATGCTCAGGTTCAGGATTTTTTTTAAATTGTTGTTCAAACTTTAAAAGTAGAAAATATATTAGCGATTAGAGATAATATAACCAAGGACCTACCGAGGTTTACCTTTTTTGTTGTGATGTTTTCTCACTGAACTGCATGTATGCTCTGTGATATCGTGTGGTCAAGTTCTTTTCACTTCCTTAGGATAATGGCCTGACCTTTGGCTCATGTTGGTGTCCCCTGTATTCATTTATTCATTCATTTGGTAACGTATTCATTCATCAAAAAGACCATGATCTGCATGAACAAGATGCATTCCTGCCCTCTAAGGATCTTAGAGGCCCTGGTCTGTTAGTCTTTGGAATAGTGTGGATTAAATTCCCAGTAAACCAGATCAGTCCTCCTCTAGTGGTAGCTTTCGTGAGTGTGGGAAATTCAGGGAAGAGGTTCTCTTACTGTATGTGGTTTGGGGCTGGACCTTCCTAGGGCCTTCACTTCCTGTTTGCCATTGGTCCCACTAAACAAGGCCACTGCCTATGGCTCTCCTTCCAGTGCCCTTGCCATCACCGATACCCAACTATCAGAATGTTGGGGATCTTCCTTTGAGTATTTCGGATAGCCTACCCTACACCTTGAAAACTGAAGTCCCAGAGACCAATTTTCAACGTGTATTTATTGCGTGACATAGCACACAGTTCGTATTTAGTGATATCTGCTATGGAGCCTCTATGCATGATCCTAATTATTAGTTGAATGCCAAAAATGTTGGTAAATTTCTTTCATGAGTGTGTTCTTTTAGAAAGACTCATTATATCAGAGATACAAAAAAATTAATGTGAAACCAGTTCATTTATCTGTATGTATAAGAGCCAATCAATCAATGTACCTAATTTGTAGAAGACAGCGTGAACTTCATATTTCTGGATGCACATTGGATAGATGATAAACCATTCAATTGTTTAAAAACTAAATCTAAATCGACAAATTAAATATGTAAATACTATTTATCCAAGTAAAGTATGTAATTTCAGCCTAATTTGGACATAAATAATATTTTCACATTTCAAAGGACCTTAATTACTGGGGTTGATTAATTTACTTTAATATCTACTGAATGCAATTCCTTTTGGTAATAGGAAAAAGGAAACATATTCTGGGCTGACTCTGCCAGTAACTAGTTTTATGGCCCTGGAAATATCATTTCACATCTTTAGATCTCAGTTTTTTCATCCATAAAATAAGAGTTTATTCTAAAGACCTTTTTAGTTTCAAGTCTATGATTTTCATTACATAAATGACTATCTCTTGACCTTTTGAAAGTAGTTATGTTAATGAGAAAAAATTGACATAAACCTACATACATATAAATATATCTTTATAGTTAAGCATATATATATATATATATATATATACATAATATGTGGATGTATATCCCAAGTACGTTTCTCATCATGTTTTCCCCTCCTTCTGTTCAAAATACAAGACTGCCAAGGAGAAGCAATTGAAATTTTGGAGTGAGAAGAAGATTCTTACTCCACCCTTCCTAATTGGGAAATGCCTCCTGTAGGAGGTAAGATTTAGGAAGCATAAAAGGAAGTAAATGAGCTCTCTTTGCAAGTCTATAGGTCTCTCAACTGATAAATGCAGTTATCTTACTTTAGTTGTCTATAAGATTTGGGAATTTGAATCCCTTTTACACTGTCTGGGTCAATGTCCACAATTTGTCATAATCTTTCAATTAATTTCCAGTAAATGGAATGGTTATTGCTTGAGCTTTGGCCTCATAGAAATAACCTATTCTCAGGGCTAGATATAAAATTCTACATTTTAGGAGAAAAATCAACTGAATATTCATAACGTTCTGTTGTCTTATAGTTATTCTGCTGTTTTCTTGTCTAAACAAACCGTGTACTGTATTCCAAATTAAAATAGAACACATTATTTCTCTCTGATGGTATGATGCAAATTTTGTATCCTTAACCGAGATGCTACATTTTGGGGAAAATTCTGTTTTTGTATGTGTTTTTGAATGATAGTTTACCAATGCAAATGTTGTTTGGAATTTGTTTTAGCATAATGGACTGTTGTCTGACTTTGATCCAATATTCAGGGATTTCCTTACTTGAGTTTTCAGTTTCCAGTTTCCAACCTGATTGTAGTAGGAAAAAAAAATTCTTAAAAAAGAACCCAGAACTCAATATTTCATAATCAGTTTCCTTTTTTTTTCCTTAGCCAAACCAACAACTTTATCTCTTCCTCTGACCCCAGAGTCACCAAAGTAAGTATTAAGAAATGTAACCATTTTCAGAAAGGGAAGGGGGTTCTAATACATTTGGCTACAGCAACTCCATTTCAGTTTGTTTTTATAAATGTGCCATATCTTCCAGTGACCCCAAGGGTTCCCCATTTGAGAACAAGACTATTGAACGAACCTTAAGTGTGGAACTCTCTGGAACTGCAGGTAAGCCCTGTATTTCACTTGGAGCTCTGTGTGTGTGTGTGTGTGTGTGTGTGTGTGTGTGAAATATGTATTAAATAATAGCACATATTCTCTATGTGATTAATGAAATTAACAAATTATACAAGCAACATTGGATAAGAAGTTACCTATAAATATTTCCACTTTTTTTTTTAAGAGAAGACATGTATTGTGTGTCAGACCTGGGCCAGACCCTCTGATGTATGTTATTACTTTAGATCCCTAAATAACCCTATGTCAGATTAAGACACCAAAACTTGACCAGGATGAGAAATTAACATTTATTTTCCTCCCACTCAATAAGTGTGCCAGGCGTATGAGTGGTTTTGACTAGTTTCACAATGACCTCATGAAGACAGTGGTAATTTTCTCATCTTTAAGATAAGGATGTTAAGGTTCAGAAGTGCTAGATAATTTTCCCAAGATCACAGAGCTAGAAAGCAAGGAGCAACATTTTGAATGCCACTTTATTCATTATATCAATGTTTTAATTGGAATCTTGTGTCACTCACCATTATACTTAACAGTATAATGCTTTCCTATATATGTTACCATTTTTATATCTTTTCAGCAAAGGAGAAAACTGAAAATGTGCCCGTTCACCAAGACAAAATGTGCTTATGTGTTTTAAAACAAGAGTGATTTTCTTCACCATTTGGACTTCTGGACTCATTTAGTCAGTCTTACTTTATGCACTGTAGAGAAAGGAGCTTTAAAAACTTGGAATAAGCCCCGAGTAACTTAATAATCCACAGATTTCCTAGGCAGACTTATAAGTTGGTTGTAAATGGTGCCTTTGCCCTGAGAGCTTTAGGTTTAGATACTTGAACTTTCTACTCCAGAAGGTGAATCTTAGGCTGCCTGAACAAGAAGTTCCTTGACTCTGGCCATTGCTGATAAGGGTAAAGGAACAGTAACTTAAACAAGGTGCTTTCAACCAGAACTATAGTGTCTTCATACACCATGGTCATTGTCCCTAAGTTTAATTTCACACTTTGAGTTTGCTAAACTATGAAAGGCATAAGGAGTTTGCTTCTTATGAAAGGTCTATTGCATGATCGCATGATTTGGTCAAGCAGTAGGGTAGTTAATTTCATGGTGTTTATATATATATTTCATGTGTGTGGACACATTTATGTGTGCAAATGTCTATCTTTATATGCATGCATACATGTGTACATATATACTCACCCATAGGCATATACATAACATCATTTCTTAAATAAGTTATAATTACTTATATGGTTATAAGTAACTTTTATGTATATATATATATATATATCATATTCAGTAGAGGCCTTCTTATCTGACCAATAAGAATGAGTATCTGGTGGGTTTATAAAAAAAACTGATTAAAGTATCCAATGTCATTTTGCTTTTGCCTAAGACATATAAAGAAACATTCAAAGATCAGATTTTTTGTATAAGAAACAGAGACCTTCGCCTTGAACTTAAAAATCCTAACTGGTAATCCATTAATCTTTCTGGCACTAACTGTAGTCATGATGTATCTTAGATGGTATCCACTGTTCATTTCTTGCTTTTTAGAGGAAAAGAATTAAAGATCTTTGTGTAGTAGTCTGAGCGCAAAATCAGTCTAGATTTTTATGCTTTTCCTATAAATAAATAATAATCATAATTCACCATGTTTTCCCAGTGTTTCCAATACCACCTGTCTATAACTGATTGGACAGCTTCTTCTTTCAATGACATACCTTTATTGGTTCTTCTTATGGAAACATTTTTTCTTATACTTCATACAATGGCATAGTATTTTGTTATCTTACATAATTCCAGTTACCACTATAATAGACATCAACTGGTTTGGGAAATACTACTGTGGCTCATGATAACAACTCCATTGAAAGGAATCTATTAACTATGAGTATTCAGAATGTTGTATTAGTCACTTATTTTGTTTCAGAGGGAATTGAGAAAGCTTCCACTTTGCATAGCCACACCGAGGCTTCTGTTAAAAGGTTTTTATTAGAGGCACCTGGGTGGCTCAATTGGTTAAGGTTTTGCCTTTGGCTCAGATCATGGTCTTGGGAGAAGTCCCGGGATCAAGCCCCACTTCAGGGTCTCTGCTCAATGGGGAGTCTGCTCGTCCCTCTGTCCCTCCCTCTGCTTGTGCTCTCTCTCTCTCTCTCTCAAATAAATAAATAAAATCACAAGCAAAAGGCTTTTTATAATTCCCATAAATAATAAAGCTTACTATAAAAGTGTCAAAAAATATAAACTAGTGGGAAAATATTCATAATTCTTTTTTTTAAATTTACTTATTTATTTGAGAAAGAAAGAGAGAAAGAGAGAGCATGAGCAAGGGGAGTTGCAGATGGAGAGGGAGAGGGAAAGAATCTCAAGCAAATTCCCTGCTGAGCACAGAGCCCGATGCGGAGCCTCTAACCCACAACCCTGAGATCATGACCTTAGCAAAAACCAAGAGACAGACACTTAATTGACTGAGCCACCCAGGTGCCCCTATTCACAATTCTAAGGTGCAAAGTTATCCATAGCATTTTCTTCCTATGGATAATCTTATACATTATATTTATACTACAATCATTTTGTATATATAATTTTGCATCCTGATTTTTCAGTTAACATTTTAATGAGAAAATTCTTTTATTATCACAGACCCTTTATTATCAGGTTTTTAGTGTGTTGTATGACAGTAATCTTAGTAGTTACATCAAAATTTATTTAATCACACTCGCATTATAAATTTAGGTTGTTTTGAAGTGTAACCATTTTGAAATAGCACTGCTTTAGAAATGTTTGTTCATAATTTTTTACAGAAGTATAGTCGACATACGATGTTATATTAGTTTCAGGTATACAACATCATAATTCAACACTTCTATATATATTGCAGTGCTTGCCATAATAAGTGTAGTTACCACCTGTCACCATACAAGTTATTACACTATTATTGATTAATTCCCTATGCTGTGCTTTTTATCCCTGTGACATGTTTATAACTGGAAGTTTGTACCTCCTCATCCCCTTCACCTATTTTGCGCATCCCTCCACCTCCCTCCCCTCTGGCAAACATCAGTTTGTTCTCTATATTTATGAGTCTGTTTCTGTTTTTTGTTTGTTTGTTTTGTTTTGTTTTTTAGATTCCCTACATAAGTGAAATCATATGGGATTTGCGTTTCCCTGTCTGACTTATTTCACTTAGCATAAGACTCTGTAGATCCATTCGTGCTTTCACAAATGGCAAGATTTTATTCTTTTTTATGACTGAGTAATATTCCATAATATATGTATACTACATCTTATTCATTCATCTATTGCTTTTCTGTTTTGGTTATTATAAATAATGCTGCAATAAACATAGAGATGCATATATATTTTCTAATTAGTGTTTTCATCTTTGTTGAGTAAATACCCAATAGTGGAATTACTGAATTATATGGTACTTCTATTTTTAATGTTTTGAAGAATCTCCATATTGTTTCCAGAGTGGCTGTGCCAATTTACATTTCCTCCAGCAGTCACAGGTTTCTTTTTTTTTTTCCCTACATTCTCATCAACACTTGTTATTTCTTGTATTTTTGATACTAGTCATTCTGATAGGTAGAAGGTGATATTTCATTATGGTTTTAATGTCCATTTTCCTGATCATTTAGTGATGTTGAGCATCTTTTCATGTGTCTATTGGCCATCTATATGTATTCTTTGGAAAAATATCTATTCAGGTCCTTTGACCATTCTAATCAGATTATTTGTGGGTTTTTTTTGTTATTGTTGCTATTGTTCTATTCATAAATTTTATTTCTCAAAATAAATTATTAGTAGTTTTTAATAATGACTACAAAGATATAACATCTTGGTGTCTTCTGGTATATATTGCCTCATTGCTTTCCTGAGAAGTTCTTTCATGAATAGCCCTATTAACCCTACATGGATATACTTGCCTTATTGCACATTTCCAAAGATATCCCATGCTAGCATTTTAAATGTTATATATATGAATATATCATTTTAATTGCATTCCTTCCATTAGTGAGATTATGATGTCACAAAAAGCACTTCTATTTCCTTCTTGTAAAAGTTTTAACATTTTTCTTATTGATAGATACCTAATTTTAAATAATTTAGTGATGACTTTGAAAGTTTAGTAGCCTACACTATTGAAAGACAAGTAGAGATTTATAGAAGATACATTTTTTTACATATTTAGAATCCTTAAAAATATACACAGTGTATTTATTTCTGTCAGTGAATCAGAATTTATCTGACTGGTTTAAATCTTTTTCTCTTGGTGCTTTGAAAGATTATTGGGTACAGTGGAAATCAGTTTACCAACATGTTTTTAATATGTGCTCTGTGCTTTCAATATGATGTCTTAGGAGATATACATCGAATAGAAGACCTAGAGACTGATCCATATAAAGCATGAAGCATTGTAGTGGCCTTCTAAACAGATGTTCTTGTGTTTAAGATGTGGGTTTATAGTTTGTTGGGGGAAACAACACACATTGTACAAGTAGCATGAAGGCAAAATATTATTTATTATCTCTAAGGTTTTGTTACCCTTCTAAGAAAGATGGACCCAGAGGGTGTTTTTGAGTTTATTGAGTGTGGTAGTTTTAAGTGTGAAGGTGCAAATTAGAGAAACTGAGGTAGGGCCCAATTGCATTACAAAGTAGAAAGAATGTAGAGCTCTAGGAAAACAAGGGGACTGAGGAGGAACTTGGAAGAAGAGAAATTTGGAACTTGATTGGAGGGTGGTGTGAGGAAGAGGTTTTTTTTGGGATAGAAGTATGTTTGAAATGCTATGCAGTATGTGATGCTTATGATCACCATCTCCTCAAACAATCTTTAGTAAAATTTCTTGCATGGTAGGAATTGAAGGAGGTGACAGACACTGATTGCACCTCCAGGGAATCACCAAAGGGAGAAAAGAAGTTATCAAAGGGAACCCTGTAACTTTGCCTCAAGTTAAATGCAATGATTGTGCAGAAGAGTGAAAA